TGAACTGGACCAGCTGTAAACAAGTTTGTATTTATTATTTATACACACATACGTAAATGTACCTCCTCTTTCAATCATGACATTTCTAGAAGTTAAATACTGTGAGAGAAGTTTGAAAATGCAAGTAGATAATAAATTATCGGGGCAGTTTTTTTAAGTTAAACTATTAGTTTTTAACCAGCGCGTAAAAAAATACGGACTGACAGATAAATAACAAAAAAAAAGTAGCCTCCTCTTTCACTCCTGCGAAAGTCCCGTCAAAATCGATTCAGCTGTTTCGAAGATTAGCCCGTACAAACAAATAATCATGTTACTCGGCGCGTGGAACGCCCCAAAACGTTCCTTTACGCTCCAAGCCGCGCCGACCCCGTTTCACGGAACGTTAATCGCTATTCCACGCACCTATCGCTTCCGTGAAAAGGAGCCAAAGGACGAGTCTTCCTGTTCTAGCCTGCGCCGACGAGCATTGGCAGTCCACGCGTCATGTAAAGCCCCTATTATACGTCGCGTGGATTATCGATCCACGCTCCATGTAACGCGATCAGCGCGGTTTAAAGCGGACAATGCCGAAATGCGCTGTGTAAAGGTCATGTACGACGCGTAGAGCGCTGTGAAAAGAAAAAAAAGACAATAGCACGCGTCTGTTTGCTCCATGCCGCGCCGAACCTGTTATGCGTAGCATGAATTGGCAATCCACGCGTAGTATAACGTGGAGTTAATATGGTCTTAACAGGGACTAAAATCGTTCCTGAAAACCTCTTCTTCAAGTTTGTAAAGCCCCATCGAAATCGGTTCGTTTCGAAACGAAATTTTTTTGAAATAAAAATAAAGTTAAAAGTAGTTATTTCGATGTTATAAACAGAATCTTCAGTTTTATTTATATGGATGTCTAGATACACAGGACGCCATCCATGAAAGAACAGAGAAATCACTGGTTTTTTTATAAGTAGATATTGCACATCAAACATTTCATTCATAAAAGCTGTTGACCTACCATAATGTTATGTAATGTTCAAGTCAAGTTTTTAGCTACTAAAATTTCGAAAGATAAGGTCTCAACGTATGCAACCAATAAAACTTACTACGAGACACGTACTTGTTTATTGACTTTTTAATTACTTATGGTATAATTAAATTCTGTTAAACATCTGCACATTTTTAGTTAATTAAAAGCAAAAATAATTTAATGCAGTCATTTAGAATTTAATATGTACCCAGATTTTACTTTTTAAGTTATACTGAATGATTTTAATAACGTATTTATTTTACAACAGGGTACCTAATATTTACTTCCACTACTTAGAAACTTTTTAGGACTGTTAAGACTAGGAAGTGACAAATTAAGGGATCCAATTTTTTTAAATAATTTTAGTTTAAGCTCATAATTAATTACCATAATAAAGAATGTATAGCAATAAGTGTTGAAATGTCAACGTAATACAAAAGTAAATTACAGGATAAAGCTTCTTTCTGATAAAATTGGAGTAAAACATTTCAAAAACAAGACTATATATCTTATATCCTAGCTCTTGCTAATAAAATATTCAACACTGCTAATTGTTTTCCTCTAAATCACGTATAATCAGCCAGTTAAAATTCGTCATTACAATAAAAAAATCAAAACATGGTGTAGTTAATTTGTATTCTAATCATTTTTGTAATTTGTACAAGCTTTTAGACATGATCGTGTTAATAAACCGAATTATTTCAGCATGATACATACCCACGTGTGTGGCTTAGCTACTGTAAGGAAATATTTTCTACAGTAAAATGACGTAACGTTTATTGGGTTAACGTGCCAAAGGAGTGACTTCCTTAAAACTTAATGGCCATAAAATTTAATTTAATTTATTCTCATTATGTAAACGACACAAACTGCTCTTCTTACATTTGTATAGAATACATAATCTTCAACTGATAATTTCTTTACAAGATACAAATTAATAGATATATGATTTCGCGAATAATAAAAGTAACGCTTTAATTACAAATAATATTAATTTTATGGTTAGTAGGTACTCCATCACTAGCTGTCATTATTGCTAATAAGTAAATATTTCAGTTAACACATAATTATCAGTTGAAAATTAGAAAATAATAAAGAGTAGCACATTGAAATTTTAAGTATAGATAGGTACTTATGTACCGCATTTTTTTTGTAGACTACTACATGAAAGCTACCCTTATATCATGTAAATTAGTCTAAACTAGAGATGCACCAGATAGGGATTAGGGATAACCGAGTACCCGGCAAAACCACTGCGATTAATGATTCATGTGTTCTTTCTGGCGAGCTCTCCATTAAACACCAACCTCAGTAACGTCTCAAATCAAGTCCCGTTCAAAAAATCGTTAAAACACTAAGCCAACGAAATTTTAATTCTTGCTTGGCGAATTTTTAACGAAAGGGTTGAGTTGAAACCGTTGAAACGAGCCTACAATGTTCTTAAACACTAAAAGTCACACTGGATGAATCCATAATTTTCTTACCAATGTTTTTTTTGTATCGATTGTCTTTGAGCATGCCATTCTCAGAGCTCATGAATCCCAAATAGATAGCGAAGTTCCATCTACATTATAGTCAGTATAGCACCGTCAATGGATTGGAAATTAGATATCTACCCGGGTGACGCTATTGTGTCTAAAAAACTTCGGAAGAATCTATGTCATCATCATCACAAGGTCGTCAGTCCTAAGGCTGGTTGGACACGCACCTTCATCTTATCTGTCAGCAATAATGCTGGATAGTTATCTGGTGTTTTTGACTTTGGGTAAAATAAAACTACTGTCATATTTGGTAATAGTCAAAAGTGGATAAGATCATTAGGCGAAAAGAAATAGAATCTTTTAATTTTTATTGATAACTTATTGATTTCGGTACTGCTATCGTGCAATTCCAAGGGTTAATGATGAACTTAACAATAGTAACATTAAAAAGTAAACGCAATGTAGAATTTTGTTTCAAAGACGTAAAAACAATTTTTTATTCTTTGATTATGCTTGTAGGATATCTGAAACGGCCCTTTTAGAAAATAAATTGCATATTGTATATATTTTTTAGTTTTTCACCAAGAGCAATTATGGAAGATAAAAAACACTGAAACTGATGGGTAACTAATCAAGAAAATAGGTAAAATAGTGCCCAGCTCAATTTGTACCTGGTTAATGAAGTGTGCTGCAAATGAAATAAAGAAAAAGCAGTAAACATTTTTAAAACTATTTATTATACAAACCCTGTAGAAATAGAAAAACTTATTAGTGCATAAAATACACAAACTATCCATTACATTTTTAACTACTGCTAACAGTACAATCGTCACTGTAAAACTTATCGAAAACAAGTGCTACCTTTATTCTCACGGGTCCTGTTCCTTTTCTATATTAGCTTTTGCAGCTAACACGTTATATTAATGTATACATATTATAAAATTTACATATTTACAATATCCTTCTTCGCCTCATCTAATAAGGTCCACTTTGGCCTGGAGGACCATAACTTCCCGGAAGACCTGAAGTACCTGAACTGCTGAAACTTCCAGTTGGAGCACCAGCAGCGGAACCACCGGTAACCACATTCGTACCTATACCACCCGCACTACCCACTAGACCACCGGTAGCCACACCACCACCACCACCACCGACAGCCTGCTTCGTGGCCTTGTAACGAATGAAGTAAACTTCCGGTTTGGACGGTGGTGTAGGTGCAGCTGTTGGAACAACGATGTCCTCCGCAGATTCGGGCTTTTTGACTAAAACGTAAACCAATGTCTTCTCTTCAGATCGTTGCTGCGAAGCAATGATAGAAGCAGGTGAAATGGATGGAGTTGGGGCTTTGATGAAAATAATTTTGTAATGTTTTTGAACTGGACCAGCTGCAAGGACTGGAGAGGGTCTTAGTTCTTCCGGTTCAGGGGGAGCGACGTGAACGTAAATATGTTTTTGGACAAGCGTTTGACCTCCTCCTATTATACCACCACCACCACCACTACCTCCTAAGACTCCTAATCCAGATAGTCCACCCCCGATACCGGATATTCCCCCTGAGATGCCTCCTGTTGATATTCCAGAACTACCACCTAATCCTAATCCTCCAGAACTACCACTTAATCCTCCAGAATTTCCACCCCCAATGCCAGTTAACGAACCATGAGCGTTTATGCCTAAATTACCACTCTGAGATAAACCGACGTTGGCTCCAATTCCACCCCCAGCAAGCTGACCCACTCCAGCACTTAATCCAATATTATTGCCAATTTGAGTGTTAAGTCCCGTTGTAAATCCTAATCGCCCACCTCCACCTGAGGGAGCTCCATAATTTCCAGAGGGTGGATTGTAACTGTACTGAGGTCGACCTTGCACAAATGCCACCACTGCGAACTGTAATTTAAATTATTTAAACAAAACAAATATTTATTGTTACTCATTGCAAACGTACAAAGTTTTTGAAGTATTTCAAGTTATTTTACTTACCAACAAAAGGGTCTTCATGTTTAGAACTATATAACAATGAGTACCAAAGGTATCTGGCAACAAAAGGCCAAAGGACTTCTTTTATACCGGAGTCATCTTCATCGTCATGTAATCAAATCCCCGCCTTAAGAAGACATCTTTGAAACGAGACGCTGGCTTAACATTTAAACAAGTGAAATTCGGGTCATAACCTCTGCGTTAAAATTTTGGCTGCGTACCTATGCGTGTATTTTAAAAAAAAACATGCCCGTGTAAACATATTTAAAGTGCAGGTCTTTACAAAATTATTCAAATGATCGCTTAATGGCAATATATTACGTATTTTTTATAAGCATGTCATGCAGAATGAGACTCGGAGTTTCTAGGTTTCCGGCAGTCGCCTAAAATCGATTCGAAATTTATTTTATTTCAGAGAAAGTTATTGCAGACAACTCCTATATATACACTTGCGTGGTAGATCCCGTAACACATTGACATTAAAAACTTGTTTTCACTATTCATACGTCTCTCTTGTCGGCATTGTTATAATTCACGGAAAGAAGAGAAATTAAAAACCAACAATTTTAGTTTTATGGGTACAAGCCTTTAACACACAGACATTTAAACTAACATAAAAGAAACCGATACATTTAATACGACAATAATAACTTTTAATGGCTAAAAGAAAATGCACACAACAAAAGAGTATAAATTATTAATTCGTTTATTTATTACTGACACTATTGGGTACACGGGTACCTACTATTAAATAATGCTAGATTTTCATGAGACTATTTTTAGGATCGAAGTTGTTCATTCTATTTTAAATTTAATAGAATTTTTGTACTTATTAGAAAATCAATTGTTTGGTGGTATATGATTTCGACCAACAGAAAGAAAAAACGAAATTTTTAATTAAAGTTTTTAGTAGATATTAATATATTTTCTTTACTGTTAATGATTTGTTCACTATTCATTAAGCGTATTGAATGTTAAGGGACGTTTCGGTCACTGCGATCTTTATCATATTATTAGTAGTAGTTACCTATAAAGCAGAAGAAAAAACATGTTTAACATTGGAAAAATGAAAGAAAAAGAAAATATTAATTGTATAAATACATTTATTTGTCACCGTATTTAAATGCAAAACACACTTGTATAAAATAATTACGTAACTAGGCTTAAAAAAACTCACGACATGGCAAATATGTACAATGATGACGAACATTATGCGTACTATCACAATCTCACAGGTCAGTATGTTATGGGTCAATCCCATACCCGTAGTATCCTTAAAGACTATGGTAACTTTTAATTAATTAGATACTGCTATTTTTATAACTTATTATCTAATTCTTAGTATGGGCCACTCTTGCCAGGGGGTCCGTAGCTACTTGATACTCCAGCACCGCTTGAGCCGCCTCCGAGACCACCAGCGTGTCCACCTCCGAGTCCTGAACTGCCGCCGATACCACCAGCGTGTCCGCCTCCAAGCCCCAAGTCTCCACCAGCACCGTGGGCAGAATTAGCGATAACACCAGCGCCAGTTGTACCACCGATATCAATGGCACCTGCACCTCCTCCAATGCCGCCTCCGATTCCTGCACCACCTCCGATTCCAGCACCTCCTCCAATACCAATACCGCCTTCCTTCTCGGTCTTGTAACGAATGAAGTAAACTTCAGGTTTGGACGGTTGAGTTGGTGCTGGAGTGGGAATGTGGATTTCTGGAGCTTCTTCCGGTTTCTTAACCAAAACGTAGACGAGGGTTTTTTCTTCGTTTTGAGGTTGAACGGGTATGATGGGAGCGGTGGGTGCAGGGGGAGCTGGAGCTTTAATGAAGATGATTTTGTAATGTTTCTGGGATTGCCCAACTGGGATAACTCTTGGGCCAACGGGTGCTTCTTCGGGTTCTGGTGGAGGTACGTGAACGTAAATGTGTTTTTGGACTATGGTAGCACCGCCAGCATCACCACCGGCGAATCCACCTCCTCCGGATAGTGCTAATCCACCAGCACCTCCTCCGAAACCGGCACCACCTCCAAGTCCTCCAGCTCCGAAACCTCCTCCAGAGCTAAGTCCAAGACCTCCTCCAAGCCCTCCTCCAAGTCCTCCACCGAGACCTCCTCCGAAACTACCACCACCACCAAGACCGCTTAGTCCAAGACCTCCGCCGTGTCCTCCACCGAGTCCTCCGGCAAATCCGCCAGAAAGACCACCACCATGTCCACCGCTAAGACCTAGACCACCGGCGCCGCCAGGGGCACCATAGCTAGATGATGGTGCAGAGTAGCTGTAACCACCAGGTGCTTCTGGACGACCTTGGACGAAAGCGACAAGTACGGCGGCGAGCTGTAACACGACAACAACAACAACATCAACGATGACACAAATTTACCGTTACTATGCGACTATTTATGTATCAAATGGCGCCGAAGAGGCAAAAGTTACTTTCACTGATAAATACTTACCACGAAAGCTCTCATGTTGGAATCGAATGAGTAACCGGTATGTTACTCGATAAGAAACGAAAAGTGATTGATACGTCTGCAAAACCAGAGCACCGTTATATAGCTCATCTTCGCGTCCCCACTAGGGATCATCCTCTAACAACGAGGCGAATGTGTTTGCAATTAGGCGTTAGTTAGGTGGTAAAAAAATAGGGTCATGTCCTCTCACTATCTAAACGATGGGCCACAGAACGAATCTGTATCAGATGGACCGTTGGCGGAGCGTTCCTGATCCAGTCAACCACTTCTTCTCCTCATAAACGCACAACACAGATCTTAACACCAAACACGGCACCATCTTCATGTCATCCTTATGCATGCATTTCGTGATATCATAAAGCGGCACGAATACTTGTGAACCGTGTTCAATAATAATTAAATTCGAAGTGTCGAAGTGAACGTAGTACACCTTATGCAATCATCGAACAAACGACGATAATCAACTGTGTATTAGAGAAGTGCGATGTTTGAGATTTAATAACATACTAACCATTAATTGAATTTTACACACATTAATGTTTTCAGAACGAATATTTTCGTTTCAGTACCGTTTGTCTAAGTTGTTTATTTTGCAGTTTACGTAAGATATCAGAAATATTCCCGTAGATAGAGGTAAATAAACTTTTGATAAAAATGGTCATATTATGTAAATTAATGTTTTGAATACGGCTCATGTTGCGCCGGCTAATCCGTTTTCCTTACGATTAAAATGTTATCGTCCGGTTGTCAATTATTATTGTTCGTTAAATAAAAAGCAATTCAGAGTAAAAAAAGGTATCTACCTATCTTATATTTAGATATAACGGATTTAGGAAATACAATATTTTATTGCTTTTCTCGTTTCTTGTTATCATGAATTCCGAAAGTCATCACACAAAAGAGGTAGCTGTAGATCAGACTCAGTTAAAACAGAAATTTGATAAGCTACCTTAATTCTAAAATTAAATATGGTTCCTCTGGAAATCGATACAATGGAATCATTATGAATAGGTAAGTAAATAGGTATTATCAGATTTTATAGATTCAGCCAATGTTTGATGATGATGTTTGTTACTTATAATACGAAACGTCTGAAGTACTAATGAAATAGATTTTACAATATATTATTCTTTGTAATTTTTGATCTGCTTTGAAAATGATAAGTATAATACCTCAGTAAGAATTAAAATACCCATAATGTTATGTAATGTTCAAGTCAAGTTTTTAGCTACTAAAATTTCGAAAGATAAGGTCTCAACGTATGCAACCAATAAAACTTACTACGAGACACGTACTTGTTTATTGACTTTTTAATTACTTATGGTATAATTAAATTCTGTTAAACATCTGCACATTTTTAGTTAATTAAAAGCAAAAATAATTTAATGCAGTCATTTAGAATTTAATATGTACCCAGATTTTACTTTTTAAGTTATACTGAATGATTTTAATAACGTATNGTTTGCAATTCTAGAACATATTTTTTACCTTTTAATTGATTTAGATTTTCGTTACAAAAATATGTACGATGTTAGATACGATGAATAGCAAACAAATCAAATTAACGCGGAAAAATCCATAAAGTTAATTATAATAATTAATGTCAGTTACGTTTTTCTTCGAAAAGAAACACAAATTTAAAACTTACTGATCTATTTTTAGAATGTAATTAAGAAGTTGTCTGTTTTGAGGTTTTTATACAACCGAGATTGCTAAAAATAGAAGCTGTTCTTTATCATAATCTAATTCTTTAGAAAACCAATTCCAAAATACATACATACGTATATTGTTCAATGTTAAATTTTTTGACAATCGCTTCTTGATTTTTTAAACAGGCAATTGCACAACTCCATCTTCGTTTACCTGAGAAACGACACTGAGATTTCAAGTGTTTCCTTCAATAAGTGCAAACAATAAATAAATAATTAGTCTGTTGCAAACAGGGGAAGCTTTTACAACAACGAAAGTTAATAATCCTTTATTAAAGGAAACAGGTAAGCATTTTGGCTCACTCAATGTACATAAAATATCTAAAGACTTGTAATGTAATTATGTATTTAAATATTAAGGGGAAAATGCAAATTATGTTTTGTACACATCACTGATTAAATAAACATTTTTTGTTAACGGAAGTTGTATAATTTTAATTGTATTAATACTTAGAAATTATGACGAAACTGTTCTCGCAATTTCGCGAATATCTATTAAAAGAAATATTTCATTATTGCCTATTCATTACCACGAGAATATGCAATAGTGACCTTACAAATAAAATTTTTAATTTTTTAAACCGTTACCTACAACAATATATCGATGCCCTGTAGATCCATTCACAATAAAATTTTAAAATATGTATATATGCATACTTAAACTTTTACAAATCTTAACCATAAGAACCACAAGATTCAACGAATTATATATTAAATTATTAAAAATAATCAAGAATCAACCTAAAAGATGGAAGATATAGAGTTATTTGGAGACAAATTGGAAATAGAAATAGGAATAAAGAAGGCCAGAGAAATGTAAAGATAAGTTAATGATAGGAGAGAATGGAAGTGCGTGTCCAACAGGTGTTTGGACTGGCGATGGAGATGATACACCTATAGGAAAATATAGCTGTTAGAGTGGTGATGGGATGCCAAGGGTGTAACCTAAACTTTTGGATTTCACAAAAAACAACAAAACCAGTAGCAACTAAATTACTTACTTTACAAGGTAGAAAAAAATGTGAAAACCTTGCCGTTATATACTAAGAGATCTGTTAGTATTAAATTACAACACGGAAAAAATGAAAAAGGAAAATTCACCTAAATATTAAAGCGATATTTACAATTTATCTCACTAGCCCGTTGCTTCGTAAGCGAAAATTACAATTTGGACCCGAATTTGTAAAGATAATATCCCAGCAGAAATAAATTTACTAGGCATTTTAGTTGAATTTACATTTAATTAAGAAACTTGAAAAATTTTAAAAAAGCATGTCAAAATTGAGATTATTACAAGTTACCTAATAAATTGTACTATTTCTACGGCATATTAAGTCATTTACAATCGAAAATTGTAATTTTTGCTTTGTCATAAAAATTTAGTTTTCTCCGTGATTAATGAAGTACTTATTCAACATTTTTCTGTTTTTATTTATTTTCCGAAATTTGTGTTTAAAAGATATCACACAAAAGAAAGTAGACGTAAATGAGATTAATGTATTGAATACTATTTTTTCTGAAGTACTACTACTACTAATCAGTAAAAATCACGAAAAAGTCCTAAAATTCCCCCAAATATAACAGAAACGTTAAACTTTAACAGCAACAATATTTCAGGTTAAGAAATGCTGCTATACGTATACAAAATTTTGTCTAAACATAAAGTAAAATGATAACAAAAAACCATTTCGAATTGATATCATGTTAACACAAGCGATATGTCGTAATTCAGCCCGTGTGTCAGTTCCGGCTTCATGTTTGGGTTTTACCATACGCAACCGAGGAAAGCTCTCTTTTCCATATTCATCAGGCAATTATACGATTTTACCAGTGTATTTAAATTCCATTCAGGGCCAAAATCGATGAGTACATGGAGCCAACAGTCTTTCACGTTATGATAGAAATGCTTCGACGATATACAAAGAATAAAATGAAAGTCAACAACACGACTGTTTTAACCAACGAGGAATTTTTATGGGGTCAGTGAAGGGTGCATAATAATAATGTCATATACAAAAGAGAATCTTCCTGTTGGCAGATAACTAACTGATTTAAGTTGAACGTTTATCCGATACAATAAATTAGGTAAATGCAAATAATATAAAATTGCGGGTCTTGTTAGAAGAGAAAGGATGGAGTTGGGGCTTTGATGANGGCCATTCTTCAACAGCCCCACTAAAGGTCGGAAGCGTTACTGTCGGTAGTTTGACACTTAGTTCATTATTTTGTTGAATAATTTGAGGAAGTGCCGGTTGTATAGGATTTCTTGCTGGTAAATTTGTCGTATTGAATTCTCTTAAGAATTTTCTAGCCTTGCCCTTAACCTTGTTGTAAAAAGTTTCATATTCTTCTCGTTTTTCTATTTCTTCTGGTTGTATTTCTTCTATTTGATCTTGTATGTCATAAAATTTTGCAAAATTTAATTCTAATGTTTCGAGTGACGTTTGCAGATAGTCAGGATCACGAGAGTCAGGGATGTTTTCCCAGCTGTTGATAATTTTTATGAAACTACTTAACGCACGATGTATCGCTGCACGTTTATGATGTAGGCTTTTAAGAGTGGCGACGTCAGTCATTTTGAAAGATAGATGATAAGAATAGGGGTTGGCGATATGAATATAACGAGCTTACCTGCCGATCTTGACTGTGCTACTGGTGAGCCGTGGATAACGCTGCTGGTGAGCCGTGGAAAACGCTGCTGGTGAGCTGTTGATAACGCTGCTGGTGAGCCGTAGATAACGCTGCTGGTGAGCCGTGGATAACGCTGCTGGTGAGCCGTAGATAACGCTGCTGGTGAGCCGTTGATAACGCTGATCACTATAGCCGTATTTGTTAATTTGTCACTGCACTTGGATTCGATTTTTGATTTGATAATAGTAAACAATGTTCGTTACTTGTGAATTGTTCGTTAATGCAATTTAAATGATGTAAACGAATTAAAATCCGGCTCGAAGGACCATATGTTGTAGCAATGTAAGGGCTCGTATCTGCTGCTACCTATCAGTAGCGCAGAATGTTATACTACATATAGCACAACTCCGTACGGGCGCGTATACATTTTGAAATGCCTCTACATAAATTAAAAGAATTTCTCATTGTGTACAAAAATAACCAAAACTCTGAAACCACAAATAGGATTAATTAAGTGTTAATTCTCATTATTAATACGATATGTTAATAAACATTCACCATTGTTTCGTAATTTTAACTGTACACCATAGACAAAAGCAAACCACGGTGACCTGCGAATTTCTTTGCGATTAGTTAAATCTAATGTAAATGTTACCTAATTATGAAGGATATTGCAAGAGAAAAAAGACTTCTTCTGACACAAAATCCGTTACACAATGTTTATTACTATAACTGATGTGTATTTACAGGATACCATGTAAGAATTCCAACTTTTTAATAGCAAATGTGTTTTTTTTTTATTCGGGTTGGTTGTCCGAAAGTTGTTAATGCACCTACCAAAGTAAGAGGTGTTCTACTAACTCGAGAAGCAAACGCTTCTTCTTCAATTATTTTTTGAAGGTCAGAGGCCAAACATGAATACGAAATGGTCATTGCAAAGGTAATTTTATAAAAATAAAAGGTTTTTGTTGGTAGATACGTTATATTACAGCAGTTTTAGATGGTGGCTTCAAGAATACAAAATACAACAATAAAAGAAACCTTTCACCATTACCATATACTCAGATTGCCAACGCTTCCTCGATCCAGATAGATCACCAACAATAGCTAGAAAATTAAATTGAACTTTTGATAATTAAATTTCCTTGAATCCCTGATGTTAGATCGGATGTTAAATAAAACCGTTGCATTAGTAACAATAATTTCTCAAGACGATGCTTTCACTAGAAATAAACAAAACGAAAACTACTTGATAAGCATACAATAATAATAATAACTGAAAAAGTTGTAAAAGAATAAAAGCTTTAAAAGAGTTTTTGTTTTCCAATTAAAATTGGTTATGCTCGCGGGGAATAATAATGTGACTAAAACTTGTATTGGAAACTCAAATTAATATCAAATAGAACCTTTTAATTATAAAAATAGGGTACCAATCCTTCATATGTCTATTTAGAGTTGTGATAACAAATTTTTTGTATTACGTAATTAGGCCAAATCAAGTAAAAAATCATCGTAATAGGATCGTCAATCCTAAAACTGGTTGATAGATTGGTAGGACACCTTCTCAGGCATGAAGATCTAGTTCAGAGACATATTAGATGCACAAACAGGATTTAAGAGGAGTAGAGGTAGACCTAGATCAGATTACTCTTCGCAAATAGTTGTGGGATGTTCTAATGTTAGGGAAATGCGAAGATTAGCTCAGGATAGGAAGGAGTGGAGGTACGTGTTCAACCAGTCTTAGAA